GAGCTATTTGCTGGCTGACTTTGCAATGATTTGAGATAACAACTTGGGACAATATACAGTGCAGCTGTTTGCAAAGGTTTTTCATTATGAATGAGAGAGAAGGCTAAATGGATGTCTAGCAGCCCCCCCTCTAGGGCCTGGAGGGGGGAGTGTGCGGTCTCCAGAGGCTGATCGATCACCAAATGACTGATATTTGTGGAATACAGTTTATTTACAATGCAATATTGCAAACAGTTTTGCCCAACAATTTAACGTGGAAGGTACTGATTCAGTAAAGCTCAAAAGGAAGGTTTGGACAACAGCCTGGATTGGAAGGATTAATGACTGGGAGTTGCTGCGGCATTAAACTTCAGATAACAGACTTGGATAACATCCTGGATTGGAATGGAGTCAGAGGAAGCTGCGCTGGTAAAAAGGCAGTTGGAAAAATATATGCAAGCCATATTTGATGGATGAAAGGCTATATGATGTTTGACATGATTGAGAATCGTGGAACCAGGGACGGAGAATTTTAAAGCGTTAAAATCGAGATGTGGAAAATATGGAAACAACGAGGAGAGGCAGGACTGAGATGTGGAGATATGCTTCAGAGGTCAAGACTATGGGGAGCTCCCATATAGGGATGGTTCTCACATGTCCAAGTCAGACTGCACTGTTAGAAAGACATCTCAGGGTAGATCCAGAATCTGTGGTTTTGGATGTCCGAAAAATTGCAAGGACATTATTGCCCCTGTGAAATGAAACCAAGCTGACTGGGAAAATCCTTAGTGCTCAAAAAACCCTCAAAAATATGGAGCGGGCAGAAGCCCAAGCATCCAATTACACTTGGGGTAAGAGCAGTGGCGTGCGGTTAATTTTTTCGTAGGGGCACCAGCTTGCCAGGGCGATGGGGGGGTGTTGATGTTGTGTCCGTGAGCATTGCGCCTACTTCCCTAAGCTGGGCAGAAGCTTCCCGGGCTTTGGGAATGAGGCACCAGGCTTCTAACAGGATTCTGGAGCTCTGCTGCCTCCTTACTACAGCTAGGTGGGAATTGGGAAGGTGGAGGGAGGGCTCTAGGACCCTTCAGAGCATCGCAATCAGGCTCCTGGAATAAGTGAATCAGCAACCTGATTGGCCTGCAGGAGCAGCCAATCAGGCTTCTGGAGGAGGTGACTCCGCAACCTGATTGGCCTACAGGAGCAGCCTGGAATTAGCCAATCACGCAGGGCCCATTGTGTAAATAACATACAGTCATACCTCGGGTTGAATTTGCTTCAGGTTGAGCGCCTTCGGGTTGCGCTCCATGGCAACCCGGAAGTAACAGCGCATTACTTTCAGGTTTCACTGCTCGCGTATGCGCAAACGCTCAAAATGACGTCACACGCATGCGCGGAAGCGGCAAAACACGACCCATGAACGCGCAGACGCGCCATCACGTCTTACGTTCTAATCAAGATACAAACGGGGCTCCGGAACGGATCCTGTTAGCATCCCGAGGTACCACTGAGGTACCTAGCCATTTTGGGGAAAGTTTCATTCATTGCTACTATGAGCTGAATAAAGCGCAGGAAATTCACACTCGGCTCCGAGTATGTGGGAGCCAGGAAGTCATGAAAAAGGCTTGTAGCGCCACCTGGTGCCTCGCTGACCTCAGTGACCTGCATGTCCGTGCCTTGCAGTGTATTAAGTAATGACCCTATATGGTTGTGGGTGGGTTTAAGCCATGACCGGATGTAGGTAATGTGAGACATTGGCAAACGGCCATGCGAGAGGAGAGAACAAAGGATAATAAAAGTTACGGGAGAGAAGAGAAGTTCGAAAGGAGCTGCTCATACCATCCTGAAAATATTGCTGGCTCTCTGTGTCTTTATTTTATGCTAAACTGCGCCATTTGTGACGGCTGGCTCCGACAAGTGGTGCCCCGTGTGAGGCTGAATAAAAGAATACGTCTGAGGCTTTTAAAAGAAAACCGTGTGAGGTTTTTCGATCCACGCAACGGATATCATCGGCTCACCACGCCCGGCAAGGGTTTCAAGCGCTAATCATCTTAAAAAGATCCCGGTGAGTTCGATCCCTCTTTTATCTTGATTTTAGAAAAATGGGCAGCTCTTTGTCTACTCCCCAACAGAAATTTTTAAAAGACTTAAAATTTCTCCTCTCCTCCAACAAATTGGAAGTTCCGGAGGGTGATTTGATACAGCTCATTCTGGCCATCGAAGAGCATTCCCCCTGGTTTCCTGCAGATGGGACTTGGGAATTGAAACATTGGGACAAGATCGGGGAACATTTTCATGGGCACCCCAGCATTGGTCTTCAGATTCTAAATGCATGGTGCAAGGTTCGTTACGCCATGGGCTCTTTATCACCAAAAAATATCTCCCTGGCTGCATTGCCAACACAACCTCCAGCTTCCTTAGTCCAGCCTGCTGTGTTAGCGTCTGTTCCAATACTTGCTTTGCCAGCAGCTCCAGACCCCAAACCTCCGGACTACAGTTCCTCACCAGAGGACCCAATCCTGCAAAAATACCGTGGTCTGGCTGGAAATGACCCTGCTCTTTCAGCGGCAGAACCAGCTACCCCTTTTCAACGTGCAGTCCTTGCCTGTTCCTTAATTCAGGATACTATGGCATTCCCTGTTATTGTGCCCCCTGCTGGCGCTCCAGCAGGAACTCAAGCCCAACACCAACCTTTTGACTTTAAGATCTTGAAAGAGCTGCAGCAGTCAGTAAAGACCAATGGACTCCAAGCCCCAAATACGCAGGTGCTTTTAGAAGCCACATTAGCCCAGCTCTTGGTTCCAGAGGACATCAAGCTTTTGGCCCATACAGTGTTACCCCCATCAGATGGTGTTTTGTTTGCCCACGAATGGGAAACTGCCTGCCGTGCTTATGCTCCAGCCTTGTTACAACAAGTCAGAGGAAATAATCCAAATGTTACCCTCGCAGACGTCATAGATGCCATGATGGGGCGTGGTCCCTTCACTCAAGCTTCAGTGCAAGCCACACTGCTGCAAATCTTATTGAGGGACACTGCTCTTGCTGCTAAACAAGCAATGAGAAAAATCCCAGAACCCAGTATTCAATCAAGGTGGGGTTCAATCAGGCAAGAGAATCATATTCTTCCTTTATGGACAGGCTGCTTACAGCAGTGAGTCGCCAAATTGAAAATCCTGAAGCCAAACAAATAATTATCAAACAATTGGCCTTTGAAAATGCCAATGAGGATTGTAAGGTTGCGTTACGACCGATAATACACAATCCTGCCACAGACACAGCAGCCATGCTTCGCATTTGTCAGTCTGTAGGTACAGCCACCCACAAGGCTCATCTGCTGGCAGCAGCGCTAAATGAAAACCAGCCTGTAGCCACCGATACAACTTGTTTCCAGTGTGGCAAACCAGGATCACCGATACCCCAGTTTGGGTAGAATAGTGGCCTCTACCAAAAGAAAAATCAGCAGCAGCGGCACCGCCTTGGTTCTGAACAGCTTATTTCTGAACAATTGACTTTCGGCCTCATTGAACCATCTTCATCCCACTGGCTCCAGCAGACAGGGAACAGTTTGCTTTTACATTGCCAGTATATAACAATTCGCAGCCCACCCAGCGATATCAGTGGGTTGTCCTGCCTCAGGGCATGCGGAACTCCCCTACACTTGGTCAACATTTTGTGGGTGAAGCATTGAAACCTTTCCGCATCTGCCACCTAGAGGTGCTGCACACGAGCTGCATCTGGCAGTGTTTGCCTTCCTCACCATTTGCCTTGCCATCCTTTGCTGCACCGTTATACAAGGAAGAGAAGCAGACGACCCAGTCCAGTTGAAACCACCATATTTCACCTTATCGGCTGGCAAGCAGCTGTCGCCTGAATCCTACTCTGGCTGGCAGTATCCACGGCTCAGCCACTTTCGAACTAGAAGAACAGCGTTGTTGAATAAGACTTTTAGGGGAGAAAATTATCATAAGATATGGAGGGATAATATTTTTGTACAAGATATGATTATGTTTGCCAGTTTATTGCATGCTTCTAAATGTTGGGTGTGTATGCACATGCCGCCTTTTGCCAGTCATTCCGGCATAATGCTTCATGGTGTGCCTGTCAATGGATCTTTTCAATTTACTAATATTATATCCCCTAAGCAAACTTTTTGGCCTCCAGTACAATTGACCCTCCATGAGCCTGCCCCCATTTGTTTTCAAATTAAAGAGGGGAAAGAATCATAGGGCATATATCCAAACTGTCAATATACATTGAATTTCACTTTTAATAGCTCTTGTTCTCTTACAGGAACATACAGTGACCAATCTCAGTGCTATAGGAGTGATACCAGTGCATGGCTAATAAACTAGAAAGGAAGCCTACCATGCAGCTTGGAATCAGAATTCTTATATTCTTGGCTTCCGGATGGAAGTTGGCTTCGACATTTATTGATTTTAGTGATCATTATAGTAGTTATTTGCATTATTTTGTGTTGCTGTATCCAATGTATTCCTTCCTTAATTTCTATATGTACTGCATGGTTCTCACAAGAGTCGCCTATCGCGCTCGATATAACCGTATTGGTACTGATATATATGACTCTGATATAAAATAAAGAAAGAGGGCATGTGGGAGCCAGGAAGTCATGAAAAAGGCTTGTAGCGCCACCTGGTGCCTCACTGACCTCAGTGACCTGCATGTCCGTGCCTTGCAGTGTATTAAGTAATGACCCTATATGGTTGTGGGTGGGTTTAAGCCATGACCGGATGTAGGTAATGTGAGACATTGGCAAACGGCCATGCGAGAGGAGAGAACAAAGGATAATAAAAGTTACGGGAGAGAAGAGAAGTTCGAAAGGAGCTGCTCATACCATCCTGAAAATATTGCTGGCTCTCTGTGTCTTTATTTTATGCTAAACTGCGCCATTTGTGACGGCTGGCTCCGACAAGAGTATATTTCAAACTTGGTCCCAGTTGTGGAGCAAACCAGAATCCTCCAACATCCATACTCAAAGGAAAAAACTTTTCGAACACTTATTAATGAGGACGAGCTAATTTGTTAAGCTGAATGATGGGTTGGGTCTCTGAATGATCATTCTCCAGAGTTTATGCTATTGCATTCTATTAATTCTGGAGGGGGAACCTGGTTGAGTCTTCCTTGGACCCTGGAGATCACCAACCTTAAGCAGAGATGAACAAAAGCTTTCCTTGCATCAGAAAACACAGAGCTAATCTCCTCAGCGGATGAAGGCGGCCAGTTTCGTCCTATGCAGAACAAGTCCACTTCCTTTGTTCTTCACATTGACAGGAGCAAGAGAGCAAACAGGAAGTGCCTTTACTTAAGTAAGTGTGAATATTGTTATGTTTTTGCGTGGGAGCAAGACTCCCCTAAATGTCTGGATTCAGTGAAGGGTTAGAATTTAAGGAAACCCCTAAATTCCCAGGCCTAATGGGGGCTTGAGTTTAAAGCGGTTTTTCCATGTCCAGGAAACACCCATTAAGAAGGCCATTTTCTGTCTGGGCTGGACAGAAAATGGGGAAAGCCCTCGCTGAGGTAAGAGATGATTAGCAGAGACAAAAGGACAGAGTTTCAGGAGGGTGGAGCAGAACTGCAGAGGGCAATGAGGAAGCAAACAGGAAAGAATTGTCACTTTTTGAAGCTGGAGGGGGGGGCAAAGCATGAAGCAGGCAGTCTGTTTCAAGCTGCAGCAGAGGTCAGACATGGTATTTGGAGTCTCTTGGAATCTGAGGCTACAGCAATGGAAGAAACAGGACCTTCTTGGGGTGTGAATGCTCTGATCTCTCTTTATGTAGACACAGGTTGCCTAGATATGTAAATAAACCCTGTATCATAAAGAGATCATGGACTCCACTTGGCCTCATTGTTCCAAAAGTAAACACAGACCCTATTAAACATGCCTGGTGTTGTAAACAAAAATTGCCCTTTTCCCTTATGGGGTATCCAAGAGCCCATATAGAGTCCTTACGTAGGTTCCCTATTGGTAGGAGAAAATAACAGAGGCCAACCAGAGAATATTGAGAAGCAAAGCAGCTAGTAAGCCTGATCTTTATTGATCTGTTGCAACAGGGTCCTAACTCTGGGAGGAGGAACCCAGAACAATGGCGCGCAAGACCTTATATGGACTTTTGAAATTGCCACCCTGTAGATCAAGACCACCCCCAGAAACATCATACATACATCACAGAAGGGGTGTAACCTAAGACCACCCCTCAGATACATCATATCTACATCACAGAAAAGGCGGTCTAAAACAGAAATGTGAATGTTGTTTCCTCCTGTCATTGTTTATCTCCTGTCTGGCAGGTTACTTGATTGGATACCTGCTTACTAGATTGGATTGCCTGGGGAGCCTGGCCAGTATTTTGTAATGATAAATATTTAGTTCCTGGGCCATGTCACAGGCTCACACCCTATTCAAACACAGACATACCCTTAAGACAGGATTTGTGAAGGAAAAGACAATGGGGAGGCTTTTCCATTTTCCTTTGACCTTGCAGAGAAAACATTTGGTCAGTTTGGGAATCAAAATGGTTTCAGGTTGGTCTTCCTGTGCTGATCTATGTACGTGCTTGGTTGGTACACTTATGAACATTACCATATATCTAAGACCTCAAAATTCCTATCACACTGGTACCTCTGGAATCTCTCACTGGTCATAGATTGGTGAAACAATGTGTTACCCACTTAAAAGCTTCTAACATCCAAGAAACCTATTGAGGATTTTTTAATGGTTACTAATCAGTATCTGCTGAATTCACTCAGTACAATTAAAGCACATGCCTATCCCCAAAGACTTCTGGGAACTGTATTTTACCACTCACAGAAAAGCATTTCCCAGCACTCCTAACAAAGTATGGTTCTCAGAATTCTTGGGGGGGGGGGAGACTTACTATGTTTTTCAGGTGTGCTTTAAATACTTGGTGTGGATGTGACCTTTAGCCCTTCAGCAGCTTTCTGTAGCACCACCTCAGTTTCCTGTGCATCAACGAAGCTATACCTCAATACCAGGTGTTTTCCTTTCGTCTGTAATATTGTCTCCCTCCTCCTCAGGATTTAGTTTAAAGCTCTCCTGATGAGCAAACACATTCTTGCTGACCACTGTGAGGTATAGCCTATCTCTTGCCAGAAGTCCATCCTCAAGGAAGCAGAAACCATGGTCCAAGAAACCAAATCATTCCTGACAACAACACCTGAGCAGCCACTGGTTTACCCCCAGTATCTTCCCCTCTCTTCCTGGGCCACAACCTTCAACAGGAAGCAGGGATGAAAAAACCACCTGCACCCTAAGGCCCTTCAGCTTCTAATCCAGAGTCTTAAAGTCCCTTGCTATGTCAATGTCTGGCAGTATCTCAAAAACAGACATGGAGAATATCATATGAGGAGAGGAAAGAGGGATTTCTGCATAGTTCAGTTTGGGCAGCTAGCAAGCAGAGGGTGGGGAATTTACTAGCCTAAACATTTCTTCTTCTTGCCCCTACGGCAGATTTAGCCTAATGAGTCCTGGGAATGCAACAGACTTCTCTGAATTATTCCTCCATGGCTTCCCAATCCAGCCAGAGTTCCAAGGGCTCCTCTTCCTGCTATTCCTCTCCATGTACCTGCTGGCCTTTCTGGGGAACGCAACAATCATCTTCTTGATCCGTTCTGATTTACGGCTCCTCCACACTCCTATGTATTTCTTCCTCAGCCACCTTGCCTTAGCTGACTTGGGCTTCACCTCCACCACCATACCCAAAGTGCTAGAAAACTTGTTGTCTCAGAAAAAGACCATCTCCTATCATGGCTGCCTGGTCCAGATGTACTTTTATGTGTGTTTTGGCAATTCAGACAGCTTCCTGTTGGCTTCCATGGCCTACGACCGTTATGTGGCCATCTGCTTCCCCCTGCGTTATTCTGCCCTGATGAGCCGTAAGCGTTGCCTCCTCCTTGCAACGGTGTCCTGGGTTATCCCTATTGCCCATTCTCTGCTTTATACCATTTTGATGTCCCACATGTCTTTCTGTGACTCTAGAGAGATCCCACATTT